GTCTAGTCCCTCGAGGAGCTCGCTCCAGGACCGAGACCTGGCATCCGCAATGGCATGTTGGAGCGCCATGGTTGCCTCTCGGTAGGCTCTGTAAGCTCTGGTAATTTCATCTTCAGTGGCACTCCGTTGTCTTCTGCGTCGGGTACGCTGAAACTGACGTCGGAGCCTAAGACAAATAGAACGCAATTGCGCTATGTCTTCTGACCACCAGTAAGCTGCCCCAGGACGCTGGCCAAATCTGATTCGGGGCATAGAGGCGTCACAGATTGACACCATTTTGTCCCGAAACCAGGTCGCTTCCCTTTCCGGATCGGGCGAGATCCCTTGTGAAATATTTTCTGGCCAGGCAACGATGTTGGCAGCTGCGATGAGCATTTCTCGATCGAGCTTTTTGAGGGCCCAACGTCGTGCCGGTGGATTAGAAGTTGCAACCCTTCGACCATCAGTGGGACTGGGTGCTATGTCAAAAAGTATATGCCGATGGTCGGAAAGTGTGACAATTTCCTCGGCCACTCTCCATTGCAATACCCTGGAGGCAAGAGAAGGAGTCGCCCATGTGAGGTCCACAATTGACTCCCCTTGCCACCTGACGCAGGTGGCAACAGATCCTTGATTTAAGAGTCGCAGATCAAGTGAAGCTGCCCAGTCTTGTACTGCGTGTCCCCTTGGTCTGTCCCGTGTGTTTCCCCACGCTCTAGAATGAGCATTAAAATCACCCAGGACTAATACCGGGCGGGGTGAGCATTTGCACCGGATGCAGTTTGCAACTCCATCAAGGTATGCCTCGTATTCCTGTAGGGAAATGTTAGGGGACACGTAGCAGCCCACTACAGCTATTGGTCCCCACTCTACAGCAACAAAACCGTGTCCCCTGTCTAAAAGACAACAGTGAGGCCCACCGTTTCCACTAGCCCAGTAAATCGCGACTGAATCTACGGTATCCCGGAACCAACGAGGATGATCCTGGAGACCATACGGCTCAGCCACCACCGCCAATGCAACTGACCACTCCGCAATGGTTTGCAAAAATAAATTTTGTGCACTACGGCAGTGGTTCAGATTGCACTGGAGAACTCTCAAGGCTGGGAATGTGACGTATCCATTTCCTCCACGGGGCTTGCACCTAGCGGTGCAGGCGACGTCACTTGGGGCTTACCAGACTGGTTGGATGCCCGTTTCTTTTGCGGGTTGCATTTCTTGCTTCCCAGACGATGGTTGGCTTGGCGACCCTGATCTGAGCAAACTGGGCATCTTACATTCGGTGATGTACACTCATTAGCTTTGTGAGCCCCACCGCAGGCGTAGCACTGATTGCTCCGGTCCGTCGTACTAGTGCACTTACTCCGAACGTGACCTGGCTCGAAGCAACGGTAACACATCATGCGACGTGGCTCTAGTACCTCAACTCTTACTGACGTCCAACCTAGTGGCATGCGCTTGTCAGACGCCAGCTTCTTCATAGCCGTTAGAGGACCACGCACCCATACGTGTCCTAAAGAAGTTGGGGGTCGTCGGATTTCACCAATCTTGACGTCCCCAACGGAGCATCCACCCGCCCTCGCTATAGCTGCAACAACCTCTTCTGGAGTTATGGCATCGTTCAGATCCATGACCCTTGCTTCTGCCATTTTGATTGGCCGTCTTATCACCACTGCAAAGTCAGCAAGTACCTCTCTCATACGATTAGCAAGGCGATCGGCTTTAGAAGCTGAGTCCTCGCCAGAAATCATCAGAACGATTCCACCATCAGCGGCACGTTTCTCCCGCAGTAAGTCAGGAGTTATACCCAGTTCGACAATATTGATTTGTCTCCTTGCCACAGACATAACTTCTCCAAGACCGACTGTCGCTCCCTCTTTCACGCATATAGAAATCGCTGCGGAAGTAGGAACTTTCGGCAATTTAACCCGCTGTTTTTTCTGCGTCAAATTGATCTGTGTCTGAGGAGATAAATTAACTGGTTGTGGTGCTTTCGCTCTTTTAGCCTTTCGACCTACAACTAGCGACCAAGTTTCCTGGGAAGACATATTCCCAGTGTGTTTATTCGGTACCGATACAGTGGGTGTAGATACCGCTGGCGACATTGTTACAACTGGTATAGCTACTTGGCTTTTCTTAATTTTCTTTTTCTTTTTCTTTTTCTTCTTATCGGCTTTCGCCCCCGTCTGAACTGGAGGAGAAACCACAATTGTCCTAGCATCTGAGGCGAGAGCCGGGCGTAGCCTCCTCTCTGGCAACAACCTATCTTCTAGAGCAGCTAATTTCGCGTCCATCATACCACCTATTTCTATGGCAATGGAACGTCGGAGCTGAGCCACGTCATCCGATGCAAAACCATCTAGTCCTAATAAAGCTGACGCTTGCATCTCTGATTTTCCTCCCTGCTGAGAGAGCGTGTTAAGCTGGTTTTTTAGCTCTACAACCGCTTCTTTCAGGCTAGCTATTTGTGCTCGCAGATCTGCGTTCTCCTTGGTTAGCTTCTCCAAGGAGTCTTTATCCGAGCCAGGCAAATTCACTATTGAAGCCTGGTCAGATGTAATTGTCGTCCGAGTACGCTTACGTGCGCGTGTCGTTATTGATACCGACTTCTGGGAGACAACGGACATTTGCGAGCAGTCTGACTCACCACTGTCACTTGTTGCACCGCCCATTGGTGTAGCTGGTCGTTTAAAATATGACCGAGTCCTCATCCCTTTTGAACTAGGACTTGAACTGTCCTTGCTCGAGATTTCCTTTTCCACCTTCTTATCATCATTTTGAAGTTTTGATTTATTTAATTCCATATAAGTCCCACGAGTATGGGGGAAGACAAGGTCCGCCTAGGGGGTGCCCCCTGTCCCTAGGTAAGTGTACATTTATATACCCAACTAGAGGGTCCACAGGTACCCTAGCTGGGGGTGCGCTCACGACTGATACAACTCCTCAGCCATACATACCCTCGCCGCGCACCAGAACTTAGTATTGGAGGAATTTTTTATAGAGGTTATCTTCCTCGCGGTCCGGGCGGTTAAGCCAAGACCCTCGTCCCGTTCCAAGTCATGAAACATAACCATGATCTCTTCCCGGATTACGATCTCGACGGTTGCATCAGGAATAGTTGTTCCGATGCTACTCGTTGGCAGGGTCAGTGCACAACAAGTACCGTCCTCCCTCATCCAACATGTCCTCTGCTTCAGCAGAGAAACAGGCGGATGACCGACTACCACCCAGTATAGGGTTTCTTCCAAAGGTAGGGCATCTGCTTGCAGAATACCTTCCCTTAAGTAGAGTTTAAGTCAAAACCCTACAGCCATTCCCGAACCCGACTCGGTTCTCTCTCATCCCGTCCAGAAGTTAGCTCCAGGAAGCAGTGTCACCATCTGCCTCCTGTATCCAGGGCGCACCACGGGGAGGTCTTCTGGCACCGCGCCCCTGGCCTATACCTCTAGGTTTAAGACGTCCACTTCTTGTGCATGAGGGTGCGGGTTCGAAACCTACCAATGGCAAGTACCAATGTGACTTTTTTTTTCGAGTTATATATACTTTCGAAGAATATTTAGACACTACTGACAAACGGTGAAGGAAAACATCGTGAGGAGACCTGGACTTATGATTACTTAATATAAGTTTAAGTTTAAAACTACCAACCTGCATTGAGCAAGTGTGGTGATTAATGCTGAAACCTTCTTTGTGCGAAAAGAGGCTTTACTCAATAGCCTAAAGTAAAGTGTAAGAATACTTTGTGTAACCATTCATAAACAATTGTAATACTTAAATGAAACCGGAAATACAATATGCTTCTTTAAAATTTCTTGACTGACTTTATAGTAAAATCAAGTTTAATTTGACTGTCTTTATCCTCTGATTATACTGATAAACATTGCCGTAAAAATCAAATATTATGACTTAGAAAACAAATATACCATAATATTTTCTCTTTACCAAGTTAAAGCTCGATCAGATCAAAGAGGCCATTATAGGCCACAAGCCCATTGAAAGAGTAGGTACATCCAGTACATCCACATGACTCAACTGAGCCTTTCATTCATAACATCCGTTTCATCCACACAAAAAATATGTATAACAAAAAAGATGTAACATTGTAACCGGGCAAACAAATCCATGCGCTCTCAAAAGTTTAATTAAATATTTATTCGTGTAGGGCGGGGCGAACCGCCCTCCGATATCGATATTGTTTTATAGATTTAAGATTAAATGTATGGCTCTGAAAATAGCGGTGATTTTGTATGTTGATCTAGTTTTGTTCGTAGGCAAAATTGATAAAATCCTTGTTGTCTCGTTTGTTAAGAGCTTTCTCCTTTTCTGTCGCTATGCTCTTGGTCAAGCGATCGTGTTATGTTTAGGCGTCCATATTAATAGTTAGAGCCGGCGACAGCTTTTCTTACATTTTGTTCAGTTGTTGAGGCAGTTGCCTCATATTTGTAGATAATTTTTCCTGTATCAAACATTATATTCAGACCTATAAGTAATAAACTATGATTTCGGTCCCACAAACCTGGAATCCAACCCTTAACATGTTGCGTTACAGTCATCACCCAGCAATTACTACAATTTTCTCATACTTTTTTAAATACAGTGCATATCTAAAATAAAGAGGACAATAACAACAAATAAATACATTCGCAATCTCAATAAAAAAAAAATCAATAACAATTAAATCAGTACGTACGTCAGAATAGTGTTCTGAACACGTTTTACATAAAATTCATATAAATAAGCCTCTCAACTTGTTAACACGGAAGCACTTGACTTCAACAAAAGGACATTTGGTTATCGAATCTAGAACCTAATGGCCCGACCCGACCTCTGTACTCAAACGCATTTATCATACTGTAAAGGTCAGGTTCCGATACTTATCGATATTTTTATGATGTCAGTTACACTGACTCACCTCTATTTTTGATAACTCCTTAGATTTATTAATGTCATAATACCAAGTTATAAAATATTCTAATATCTTCGTTGATAAATTGGACTGCATACTATAATCATACTAATTATGATCGTATTCGCGATTTTCATTATGTTTTGGTTAAAATATTAAGTATTGAGAATGATATAATAAAGGATTATGTTTCTTTAATTTTAGTTAATAAGGTTCTTTTTTGTAATGTAATGTGTTTAATCGGATTGATTCTAGGATATTGCTTTTATTGATATGTTTTTAATTTTGTAGCGTTTATTAATTGGACTTGTTTGTAATGTCGTTCGTTAATCCATAGTGTCTCGTATGCTTCACAATAATCTGTGACGCCTTTGGTGTAGCGGGTGTCCATGGACGGCGCTGATCGCTTACCATCAGGTGATCTGACTGCTCGTTTGCCTCCTATACCATAAAAAAATCTATTTTGGTAACGTTTACTACTCATATATTATGTGGGTATGAGTAAAGTCTGACTTCCTTAGATGAAATACCTACTTGCACATGTCGCCTAGTGCATTCAAAAGATTTCTGTTTTATATTTTTTTACATACATTAGAATTCTGTATAATACATGCGTTGTTTTTTTTACAGAATAGTGAAAGATACAAACTCTAATTAAAGGGATATTTTTTATTTATTCATAACAAGTGTAACAAGTGATTTTATTTCTGCAAATAGGCTACAAGGCAGCATTTTACACGTCAATTTTTCAAGCGAACGATAAGGCAGATAATTCTTTAATTTAATCTTGGTATACGTTATATTTAATTTCTACCTAGTTCCATTATTAATCATCCTGGCAGAACATAGCAAAAATAATTATATACATAGAAAAACGCTACTTTTTTCTATACCATCTTCAAGTCCAGTAGCGCTTTACGTCATGCGCGAAAAAAAGAACTAGCCTGGTTTTTTACTCAGATAAAAAGCACTGATATACAGATACAAACGAACAAAAAATACGACACGCCACATTAGTATTCTAAATTACATTTTTCTCACCATCTCATACACATTATGTAAAGTATGAATTATGTTAATAAAAGTATATTTATAAAACAAGAAAAAATGCCACTAGACCTTCAATATATAATATTAGGTAACTTATTTTCCGCATTAAAAACGTTAAGAGGTCACATTGGCACAATAAAAATTTCTCAAATCGACCGATACTTCATTATAGCAAATAAAACATCGATCGACACATTAGACATGTGTCAATATTCTAATGAACACGATATATTTTATCGATATATTTTGAAACGTAAGTGGCAATCACTAGCAATAAAAAATAAGCGTATTATTTTCAAATGTTAGAGCAAAAGTTCTTTGACGTGTATCGATGTATTATTTCGTTTATTCTTACAATGGTTGCGTTTAATTTGAACCTTTTTCTCATATAAAAATACCGTAAGCGGTATTATCGAAACATGCGAAGTCACAGAATGCAGTTAATCTAAGTGTGACGTCAGCGATTGTCGATAAATCACCGACGATATGTCGTGTCGATGTCGATATGCTTGCTACACCTGTTGCCAGGGCTGTGCTGAGTATTTTATGGTGTTTCATTAACATCTACTTAAAGAAGGATTCTCTTGTCATTGTAAATACTAAGTTTATGGTAAGTAGGTATTTATTGAATTAATGCGGAGTTTACAAAATAGGAAATAGACCTATTACTTACCTGCTTGACTCTAATAACATGTCATTATTGATAAAAAGTGCTGCGCTAAAAGAATTAAAATATGCGTACTCACAGGATCGGTCAAATCATTGAACAGTTTTATATATCTAACATCACGCCTTTTATCCCCGTAGGGGTACACATTATGGCACTTAATTCTACTTTAGAATGTAACACCCACTTTTCACTATTTATGTTATGAGTCCCATGTAAAAGGGGGTGATCCTATTACCATATACCGGACACAATACCAGACTCCGTGCTACTACTAAGAATTTTCTAAAAACCCAGCAACACTTTACCCGACACGGGTATCGAAACTGAGACACCTTACCCGGCAGTCGCACTTGGAGGTATATCTAGAAGTTTATTTCGTTCAAATCATTTTTGTAACAAGAAAATTTTTGCACAATATTTAATATTTATTTAATCGTAAAAATGGAAATATAATTTTCAAGTGCAACCCTAGCGTTAAAAAAATTAACAAGTCATATTGTTTCGGTCCACGATACTTTCTCTGATAAAAGTTGCCGACAATAAAAATTGGTAATAAAATCTTTTGTACACAACTTAATAAGTATGAACACTTCCCACAATGTATTCAAATATGCAAAAGCATCACCGTGTTAAAGTCATTTCAGATAAGATGTCTAATGTGCCTATTATATTGATCTTTCGAATAAAAAAGATGTACTTCGGTTTTCACTTAACATTACATAATATAACATCACGCCTTTTGTCCCCGAAGGAGTAGGCAGAGGTCCACATTAGGTCACTTAATGCCACTGTACAATGTAACACCTATTTTTCACTATTTATGTTATGAGTCCCATGTAATAGGGGGTGTGCTTATTGTCATTTATTCGGTTTTCAAATTCTCACTAATATTATAAAGCTGAAAAGTTTGTTTTTTGTTTGTTTGTTTGAACGCACTAATCTCCGAAACTACTGATTCGAATTGAACAATTATTTTTGTGTTAGATAGTCTATTTATTGAGAAAGGCTATAAAACATCTCACTACGACCAATAGGAGCCGAGCAAAGCGGGTGAAACCGTGCTCAAGTAGCTAGTAGTATAATATGTGTCTAAGGTGTGTGTTCTGTGTTCTAGGTAACCTAAAAAAATCTACATCTGTTTCAAATTCAAATGAATCCTCCTTTGAATTTTATTGTGA